AGAGCCAAGTTCTAATATTTACAAAGGCAAGCAGGCACGCATTGTGTACAACAATCTTCCCTTGTCAAGGTCTTCACTCTCACTTTATATTTACATATAATTACATTACACATAATATATTACATACCATTTTTTAGATCTATAAGCCAAACTGCTTTCAGCTTTTGGTTTGGAGAACTGTGCCCTGCCGCAAGTTTAAGCGAGAGTCTGGAGGGTAGCGGCCGATTCACTTTAGGACGTAGGTACCCAGCACAGAAAAACCCTGCCGCCAGCTTTCTCCTCCTCGCCCCCGATCCCGCCCAGGTCCCGCTCAGATCCGGTTCAGGACCCACTTCAGGTCCAGCTCCTCCCTTCGCCACACCCCTCCTCCCGCCCCTCGCCCCTAGCTCCGCCCCTCTCCTTCCCTCCCCCGCTTTTCTTTCCAGCGCGGGCACCGCCTCTTCTCGCGTGAGCGGGGCGGGGCGGGAGGAGGTGGTGCCGGGGCCGTTGCTAGGATATGGCCGGCAACACGGAATGTGGCGGGTGCGGACGCTGCTTCCTCTGAGAGATTTTTGAGAAACCTGTGCGACCCAAGTAGCTGCTTTTCTGAGTCAGGTAGGAGGACAGGTTCTGGCTGCCCTCCCTTGGCCCCACCCTCAGACCGGTCTTGAACCGGTGACAGGCGCTGAACTCCCAGAACTTTGTACGGGGCGCTGATCCCTCCTGGGCTCTGGGGACTGCTTAGCCGCTGGACACTGTTCCACCTTTGCTTCAGAAACCGTGCAAAGCATCCCATCTTTCTTAGTTCCTTTTCTGGCTCTGGATCTCAGGTTTGGGATTCGGAAGCAGCAGCAGCAAGGCGGGAGGTGTACCTCATCTTCCACCCGGAGTGCTTATCACGGTAGTAGTAGTAGTAGGTAGGCATCCATGGGGACCATTTTGAGTCTTTTCTAAATAGAGGGCTTTCATGCTTTCCTCCTTGGCACTCTCCTCTCCACCCACGGTCTTTGCTGTAACTCTTAAAAAAACGTAAAAATTAAACAGGTTTATTTGGTAGAAGGCAAAACTGAATCCCAGCCTTACTGGTTCCATCAACATTCTACATATATCAGTGAAATCATGCAAACTGTAAGTGAAAGGGGGACATTTTTGTATGCAATCATCATAGGGACTACTTTGGACAATGTTTTTAAAGATGAAAACATTTAAGTTTGGGTAGGTAAAGGTAAAAGTGATAAAAAGTTCAAACAGTAAAAAGACTGTGCAGTGAAAATCTGTTTTATGCTTCAAGGACCCGGCCTTAGGACAGTGGTGTGTTATTGAGACCATCTGGACTGGATTCCTGACCGCACCCAGTAAAGGTCCTGTATAAACTCTTTAAGATTCTGGCTGGTGGGTCCAGAGATCTACTGTCTTGCAGCTGCCAAAGATAAGCCTTGTTTGTAAGTTCCCTTGCTTATTAAACTTGCCACCTACCATTCTGGAATGCTGCCTCTTTCTTTGGTTTCTCCTTGCGTTCCATGTATGGGGCTCAGTTTTGGATTTAACCCCGGGGGAGCTCTAGAGGTTGTAAACCAACAGCTTTGCTTTTTTACTTAATTGAATCGTAAAGTATGTAGCTTTTAGAATTGGCTTAGCATAGTTCATTTGAGATTTGCCCATGTTGTATCAATAGTTTATTACTTTTTTTATTGATGAGTAGTATTCCATTTTATGAGTGTCTCATATGTGCAGCCGTGCCTCAACTAAGGAACATATGTGTTGTTTCCAGTCTTTGGTGATTAAGAATAAAGCCTTTATGGGGCGCCTTGGTGGCTCAGTCGGTTAAGCATCTGACTCCAGGTCAGGTCATGATCTCATGGTTTGTGGATTCCAGCCCCTTGTCAGACTCTGTGCTGACAGCTTGGAGCTCAGAGCCTGGGGCCTGCTTTGGATTCTGTGTCTCTCCCTCCCCCCCACCCCCGCCGCTCTCTCTCTGCCCCTCTCTTGCTCACGCACTCTCTTTCTCCCAAAAGTAAACATTTAAAAAATCAAAAAAGAATAAAGCATTTATAGACTTTTGTATACAGATTTTGTAGGTGTGTAGTTTTTCATTCCCTCTGGGTAAAGGACACAGATTGCTGGGTCATATGATAAGCATATATTTAATTTTATAAGAAAACTGACAGTTATTTTAAGTGCCATACAATTTTCATTTCCACCATCAAGGTATAAGAAGTCCACTTGTCTTCATACTCACTAGCACTTGCTATCGTTGGTCTAAAAATATATATATATTTGAAGTTCCATTTCTTTAATAACGAATGACACTGAGCATCTTCTCACGTGCTTGTTCTCAGGCCGGGGCTAGAATGAGGCAACTGGGTCCCAAACTTAGGAGGCATCTATTTTTAGGTGCACCTGCAACTATAGCACAGCGCGGTGCTGCATTGCTCCTGTGCCTCTCTAGTCTTGACCCCGCTTATTTGTCTTCTGAAGGATATTCTTTGTTGACTTACCTGTTTAAATATTTTACTCATTTTTAAACTACTATTCTTTTCTTGTTGAGTTTTGAGAGTTCTCTATATATTCTGGTTACAAGTCCTTGGTCAGATATGAGCTTTGTAAAAAATTGCCCCCCGGGCTATGGTTTGTCTTTTTATTCTTCTAGGTGTGTTTTTAGAAGAGCAAAAGTTCTTGATTTTGTTGTTATTGCTGTTTTAGAAGAGGACAGCTTGGCCATTTTAGCGGGGGGAGGATGACCCACCAGACGGAGACAAAAGCATTACCTCAGCCTCCCCGAAGGAATGGGAGGACTATGTTTGCCAGGAATCAGGGCTTCCTTATGAGACTCTTTCTAATCAGGCCATTATGCCCCATTATGGGAGAAAATAACCAAAAGGAAGATTTTTTTTTTTTGTAAGTGAGAGCCTAAAGAAGTTTCTTGAATGTTTTAAAAATTGAGCTTTTGTTCAGTTTTTTTTTCTCATTTCACTTTTTCTCTTTATTGTTTTGGAATTTTAAACCTTTATCTCAGCTCTTTTATTGGTTGTACTGGAAATTCACCTATGCATATTTAATTTAACAAAGTCTAGGGTTAAGAATATCATATCCCTCAATTTTGTAAATAGTATAAGGATTTGAGAACAGCTCATGCTCATCTTTCCCTTCCTAATTACATATTACTATTGTCTAATATTTCAATTTTCTGTTATTTTGTGTTGACAGTATTTGTTTGGGGTTTACCCATATGTGTATAATTTATTTGTTCACCTCTCCTTTTGCACTTTGGACTTCGGTTGAGCCCATTTTCCTCCATCAAATGTATCGTTTACAAGTCCTTAGAGTAGATACCTTGGTGGTAACTTATTTGTTAAGTGTTTCAAAAGATAATTTTGCTAAGTGCACAGTTTTAGGTTGATAGTTCTCTTCTTTTAATTAGTCCATCGTTGCCGTGGCTTCTATATTTCTGATGAGAAATCTACAGTGAGTTTACTTTTCTCCTTTGTGTTAATGTTAGCAAATTAATGTAATCAAAACCGTAGATGATATGTACTTTATCACTGTATGCTTTCCAGACCTTCTCTGTTATTCTGTAATGTAATTACAACATATATGGCTTTGAATTGTGTTTACTTACCCTGTTAAGTGCATATTTATGTTATGCTTCTTGGGTCTTTGCATCCATATTTTTTATCAGCTTTGTGAAATTCTCAGCCATTACCTTTAAAAATATCTTCTCTCTTCCATCTTTTTGTTTTCTCTGGGATTCCAATGTGACCTATACTAGATCAGGGGCTGGCAGACTCTTTCTGAAAAGGGCTTCTCAGGCCACGCGCAATCTCTGTTGCATATTCTTCGTTGTTTTTTATTTTCAAGTACAAAACCATTCTCAGCTCACAGTAAGATCTACTTACCAGTAAAATAGGCTAGACTTTCTTTTTCTCTTTTGCATGGCCCTTAATCTCATACTTTTCATCTCCTTATCTCTTTACAGCATTCTATATAAAATCTTTTTATTTATCTTCTAGTTCATTAATAATTCTCTCTTGAACTCTAATGCTATGTTCATTGAATTCCATAAGTATATATTTTTATTCCAGATATTCCACACTTTTGGAAAGTGGTCATCTAGTAGACAGAGAACTTCACTGACTAACGTTATTTTTTTTCTCTATAAGGATTTGTGCTTAACGAGTTAGCCCTCAACACAACTTTCCCATCTCACTACTGGTCCAAGTTCTAGTCTGCCCCCTGCTGGGCCACTTCTCCCATCCTCCCTTCCATCCTCCCTTCCACCCTCCCTTCCTGGCTGCCAGCTTTTTAAGGTAGGCTTCCTGCTCTGCTGGCTCTTCACTGCTCTGATTCAGCTCCTGCCCCTGCAGCCTTGCTGTTGGCTGCCCTAGGCCACCCTGGGCCCAAGCTCCTGGATGCTGTCATACTGTCTCCCAAGCCAAAGCTCTTGGTTGCTGTAGCTCAGGCCCTAGCCAGCTCCAAGATCCTCCCCACAGTTTGTTGATATGTTTGTTCTGGGGAACAGAGGTCATTGGAGACCTCTGCTACGATTTGTGAGAGCAAAGCTACTACAAAGAGTGTTTACTATCTGGGGTACGGTTGCTGTGGAGCCGGCAGAATCCTTGGAGCTTCTAATCAATTGTAACCTCAGAAGCGTAAATCCTGTGTTAGGTTGTGTTTAGAAAAAAAAAAAAAAAAACTATTCAAATAAGTTCTTTCACAAGGCATTGTTCATTGACTAAGGAAGAGGTGACAATATGTTTTAAAATATTTTTAAATATGTTCTTGACAGTAGATCTTTCTCAAATTTATTGTGCTTTGAGGTCCTCTTTTGGTGTAATTTTTACTTTCTGTGTTGTTTTTATTAAAAATTCACCAGTGTTTTTACCTGATGCCATTGCTAAAATAATCAGTATTTTTAAAAAATAATGAACAACATTGCACTATGTATACCAGCAATGAATTTGATATTTGGTATAGAAATTTTTATGTGTAATAAATGTATTTATGTTTCTTGGTTCAGGAAAATGTCTGATCAGAAAGAAGAATTTGTTGCTCAGAATACTGTTAATGCATCAGAAGAAAATGATGATGCTTTTGAGACTATCAATATTCCGGTTCCCTCAGAAGAGCTTCCGGAGTCCGATCAAACTGAAGATAATGAATCTGAAGTAGAACTGTCTGGTGAGGGCCATGGCACACATGCTGAGGAGGAAAGTAGCCAGAGGTTACCAAGCCTGGAACCAAACGGCGAAGAACAACCTGTGGGAGAGGTTATGTTGCCCAAACACGCTTCATATTCTCCAAGACATTCTCCAAAGCACTATCGAACTGAATATGATAATGCAATGCTGCCAGCCAGAGGGTATTCTGGATCTCTGACACTTCTGAATAAAATAAAGGCCATAAAGGAATCTCTGAAAACATCAATGAAAGATTCCTTAGCAACAGGTATTACCTAGGGAAGATAGGATATTCTGTACCTCATGTCGAAGAACGTTTACTTTTTTAAATTTGTTTTTGTTTAAGGTTTGTTTTATATGTGATATTACATACTTTCCCTATCCCTTTCCCTTATCCACAAAACTTCTGTAGCTACTGCCACTGCATTTCTAATTATGTGTGAAGCTTCTCTATTGTGCAGGGTACTATTTTCCCTAAATAGATGAGCACTATTAAACTTTAAGTTGATGCTGATCTGTTTTTCCTAAGTGAAGTAGGTTTTTTTAAATGTTTAGGGACCTTGGAAAATGGTGGACAAACTGTTGAGTATAACTGTAATTCTTTGACATGCCTCTTTGGAATTGATTCTTCATAGCTGCCAAGAAAGAGTTGGAATGGGACTTGACTCCAGAGAGCCTAGTTCCATCTCTAGTGGTCATTCCTCACATCTTGTTACTTTTACATAATTCTAGACTTCTGTTTAGTGTTAACTTTATATTTAGCTTCAGGAAAACTGTCGTTGTCTTGCATTATAGGTTAATTTTAAAGGCATAATGTTGATGCCGTGTAGGAGTCATTACTACGTGGTTAGTAACAAAGCCAAAGTGGAGTGGCAAGAAGGGGGCTGCACATAGAACCATCCTAGTTGGGTGATTCACTGATTGCTCCTCCTCTCTCTTGTCCATAAGTTTTGAAATTGTTCATCCATAGGGTGAAGAACATGGGCTATCATTTAACAATTAAATAGCAGCTTAGTTTGGCTGGTAAAATGTAGCTTTTGAATCCAGTGGGGGCAGTGTATCCTTGTGTGGCACGTCAATACAAGTAAAGAATGAGAAGGAGGAAGGAGAAGAAAGTAATCAAGCCCAATTATACGTAACTGAAGCTGTTATCCTTCAGTTTCATTATTCACAATAAATTTAGGCTCCATTTGTTTGTTTATTTATTTTTTAAAGTAATCTGTACGCCCAACGTGGGTCTCGAACTCATAACCCTGAAATCAAGAGTCGCATGCTGTACCAGCTGAGCTAGCCAGGCACCCCTGGGCTCTATTTTTTGATATTTCTGTGATCCTGATACTTTAGCTTTTAACAAACACATGGTGATTAAGATAAAGTTGTCTTGGTCCTGTACTTCCTGAGACTCATAAATTCCTTCACATACCACTCCTTCCCAAAGCTTAGGAAGTCACTGCTATGAAAATTTTAAAATATATTAACCATAGAATTTTGAATCCATAAAACAGCTACACTAGCCTTCTGATAATATCTGTGAAAGCGTTTTCTTTGTTGATAGCTGTGAAAACAAGTTTTAACAATCTCAATCTTAACATTGACAATACCTAGTTAAATTTCATTCTGAGATTTAAAAAAAAAGTTTTTTTAATGTTTATTTTTGAGAGATTGAGAGACAGAGTATCAGTGGGGGAGGAGCAGAGAGAGAGGGAGACGCCGAGTCTGGAGCAGGCTCCAGACTCTGAGCTGTCAGCACAGAGCCTGACGAGGGGCTCGAACCCACGTACCATGAAATCATGACCTGAGCTGAAGTCGGACGCTCAGCCGACTGAGTCACCCAGGCGCCCCTCATTCTGAGATTATTTATAAATGTCTCATTTAGCTTTATGAAAATTGTCATGTGTCAGGCATCTAGAAGTATACAAAACTTTTTTGGCCTACAGTGTGCACTCTACCCTCCAACTTACTTATTACATCTTCTCCATTATAATTTAAAGTCTATAGATGTAAAAGAAGAACGTTTACCCCAGTATAATCAGCTTTTAAATACTATGTTTCCCTCCTATAATTTGTGAACAGATAATCATTTTATAATAAGTTTTTTGTTATCAACATGTGTCTTGATTTCCTATTTTATAGAATGTGTAATGAACCGTATAATGTCCATTTTTGTGAAAAGTAGATTTGTGTGCAGTTATTCTAGATGTTTGTAATGAACAGTGATTTCCTGCCTTGCATTTTGGCAATATAGACATAAATCAATTATGGGAGGAAGAATGGGGCACCTGGGCGGCTCAGTCAGTTAGGCGCCCGACTCTTGGTTTCAGCTCAGGTCATGATCTCGTGGTTTGTGAGTTCGAGGCTCACATTGGGCTCTGTACTGACAGTGTGGAATCTGCTTGAGATTCTCTTTCCCTCTGTCTGTACCTCCTCTGCTCACTTGCTCTCTCTCTCTCTCAACATAAATACACATTTAAAAAATTATGGGAAGAGGAATGGACTTAGTATTAGACACCTTCTATTTTGAAAATTTCTTTATTGACTTTTCTTAACTTCATGAATAATCACTGATTTACTAATGCATGCTATCAATGTGTAATCGAAGTATGCACATTCATAAGTTCAGGGACACCCTCTAGGTCTTAGGGTCTCCCCTTCCAATACTCAGTACACAGAAATGCTTGAGTTTCTGAGATGCTCCTGTGTTTATATCTGAGTAATGTAATACCAGATACCAATACCAAATTAGTACCAAATAATTCCAGTATAACACCAGATATTGGAAATCTTTAAAAGTAGTTTAGCTTTATTTCTTTCTTATTTCTTGTGGCATTTTGAGCAAAGAGGTAATCTTGAAAGTGCATTGATCCTCATAGCAGAGACTGGAATAATGATCTGAACTTTTAAGCTAGAGTTGGGGGAGCAGGTATTGACTACTGATGCTAATTCTTGAGATTCTGAGTTAATTTTCAAAACCAAAACTGAATGTCACTTCTCATAGCATTTGAAAAGTAACTCTTATCATGGAGGTACAGTGGGGGAACATGGCAGAGGCAACCTGCATTCTATGTGGTTAAAAATTGTCCCATAATTTTCTATCTGCTTATGCACTGGGTTGCTGACCCTTGCTTTTGACTATGATTCTTTCTTTTCTCTTTTTATCTACAGTAAAAGTTGTACTTTTTCCTGTGGGCCAGGAAATTATAATGCCTTTTAAAATAGACTCCATTGTAAAGTACCTCAAGGATCATTTTTCATACGTATTAAGTATCCCATCTAACGTACTGCAGATGAGATATTCAGGTAAGCTTGGAAGCGAATAAAACTTATCAAGACTTCTTTAGTTTTAATGTGTAGATAAACAAGATCTTTAATTTGTTAAATGAAGTATCTTGATATTTACTATTTGAACATTATATTGTGATTATACATTCATTCAACTCATTTTTATTGAGTACATATTTGTTCTAAATACTTTGCTAAGAACTGAAGATGTAGAGAAACATGAAACAAAACTTTGTCGGTTTACAGACTAGTCAGAAAGATGATATATGCAATAGTTAACCACATAATGTGCAAATGTTTTAATGGAGATATGCTCAAAAAGCTGTGAGAACAGAGAGGAAGGAAACCGGGAGGTTCTAGAAAGCTTCATTTAATAAAAGTGACAATACGTGAGCTGAGTCCCAAAGAGGTGAGAAAACCTGGGACTTCAGGGAAGTGGTAAGAAGTTTAGAGTGGCTGGAAGTAGATGCTGTGTGGTGAGTAGGAGGCAATGAGGTTGAAAGAAGTGGATAAGGATGAGCATGTATAAAATAAGAAGAGGCCTGAAAATGATTTATCTGTCAGTCCTTATACAGTAAGGTGAATTCACATTCCCTGATGTTCAAGTTTACTTATATTTTGTGGGCAGTATTGGACAGCCCGCTTTATGTAGCTTTGTGTCATGGGAGGATTTAGTCTTTGTAACTGTGATATAATTAGTAAAACCATGATAGTTAAATAAATGTTTCTATAGAATATGTCTGCACAGATCCTAATATTTTCATTTTAAAAGTTTTGGTACTAACTTAAAAAGATGCCACCAGAAAGTTTCCAGGGAAATAAAAACATTTTTTGTGTGTGGGAAAATCCTAAATACTAAAAAGGATTAAGCCACACCTGTTAAGTTCCTCCTTGTCAAATCAGAGAAAATAATCAGTTCAATTTCAAAATTATTTTTAGAAAACTGTTATAATGAATGTGCTGTAATACTAAGATGTTCATGTATTCAAACAATTGATTACTAAGGTTGGTTAGGGAAACAATACTAGAATTTAAACTTATTAGTAATAACAATCATGATAGTTAATTTATTGAGCACATATTGTGTACTAGTCCTATAAAATGTTTTGCCTATATTATCACATTATCATTCAACCCACATAACAACCCTTTGACGTAGGTATTATTATTAACTTTTTTTTTGAAAGAAGGAAACTAAAGCTTGGGAAACTAGCATAAATTCACATAGCTAATGAGTGTTAGAGTCTGAACTTAAACATAGGTATGACTCCAAAAAGGGAATTGGAAATTGTTTGGCATTATATACAAGGTGAAGTTCAAAACTGGAGAAGAGAGCACTTTGAGACTGGAGTAGCTAACTAGTGGTACCTGAGACTAATCTTTGTTCTTTGCACTTCATGACCTTTCTTCTGTATGTGTAAGTGCCAGGCATCACCACTGGGTAACAGGGTTATGTCAGCCATGATAATTAAAGAGCTTGATTCTGTGTCAATCGCCCTCTAAGACAGGTGCTTCTCCTAGTACTAGAATTGGAGTTCAAATTGGAACTAAGCCTACTATACAAACTAGAGGAATGAAGAGAAGAAGGGTCTGGGAATCTATATTCATTTTCTATAGCTGTTATAACAACCACAAGCTCAGTAACTTAAAGCAACACATGACTTCTCTTATTGCTCTCGAGGCCAGAAATCCTAGATCAGTTTCACTCACATGAAGCTGACATACAGGCAGGGCTGTTCTCCCTCTGGAGGTTCTGGGGACAATCTGCTCCCTTGTCTTTTCCACTTCTAGAGTTGTATACCTTGCATTCATTGGCTTGTCGCCCCCTTCCTCCATCTAAAGCAAGCAGAAGAACATCTTCAAATCTCTCTCTGCTTCTGTCTTATCATCTTCTCTATAGTCACATCTCCCTTCCTTCCTCTGTAAAGGCATTTGTGATTACATTTAGAACACACTTAGATAATCCAGGATAATCTCCTGATTTCAAAAATTTTAACTTAATAAAATTTGCAGTCATCTTTGCCATATAAGGTAACATTCATTGGTTCTGGGGATTAAGACATGGATATATTCTGGGGCCATTATTCAACCTATTACAAAGCCCGTATAACATTCATGTTAATTTTCTAAGTTAAGAGTTTGGGGTGTGGAATTGAAACTCAAGGATCTTTATACTTTCTTAAACATAGCAAAAATAAACTGGTGGTATCTGATATATTTCTAAGAATTAATGTAACAAAACCTTTGCTATGTTCAAATTCCCAATTGTAATTTAGGATGACCATTCATTGGAAGAGTCATATATATTCTATCAAAACAGCAGCCAATAACATTACACATATTTTTGTATTCCTTAAAATAGAGAAATAAAATTGGAGTCAATTTATAGAATAAACCAATGAAGGGGGATAGAAGTAAAAAAGATACAAAATAACATAAAAATATAGTGGTGTACACTTTTTCCAGCACAAAGCTGAAGCTTAACTCTACTTTTCCATGAATTTACTAATATGAGTTCCTGATTATAGAAACAGAAAGAGAAGGATTCTTTGGAACTCTGAGTATATGCTTTTCTGCATTGGAGACAGGAGTGGGTATTACAATAATCAAATTTTCCCTGAATTAGATATGTCCTGTGCTTACACACATTGTGATTTTTTTTAGAGAATCAATGTTTAGAATACGATTGTACTCATAGAATATGTTTTTACTTTAAAATATCTATAGAGTTGCATGGTTATTATATATTTGTGTTTCTGATGAGAAATCCTGTGAGAGTTATAGCTTTATTTATAATGTGGAATTCTTGCATCTTAACTTTTCCCATTGTGGAGTTTTCTGTACTAACATTATAGTAAGGGGTGGACATCATCAATATTCTATTAAGTAATTAAACTATATGTGTTCATAGAATTATCTTCGATGTTTTTGATCCCCTTAAAATGAGTACATATAGTTATTTCTTTGTCATACACTTCTTACAGTTTCATGTCATTTTTTAGGAATAATCCTTAAAAATAATGAGACCCTGCTACAACATGGAGTTAAGCCACAGGATATTGTACAAGTGGAAATCTTTTCTACAGATCCAGATCTATTTCCAATCAAAAGAGTAGATGGATTAAGTGATGCCTCTCACATCATAACTGTCAGAGTACAAACTGGTTAGTTATTTGATGTCTTTTAGATGAAGTATTTTAGAGTCCCTTTGTAGGTGAGCTTTCATTCAGTCTTGGTTTTTACCTCCTTAGGCATTGCTCAGTACCAGGACGTAGCTGTTGAGATTATAAAATCTGACTTTCACAAACCATTTCTTGGTGGATTCAGACATAGAATAACAGGAGTAGAATATCACAATGCTGGAACACAAACTGTACCTAAAAAGATTACCAAAAAAGACTATGCATTTTGTAGGGATACCCAGGTAAGAGTTTTATTTTCCTATGGAGATTTTTGAAACTGCAGAATCAACAAATGTTCTGTATACCTGTCTAAAGTCTTCCCCATTTGCAACGATGTGGGTATGCTAAGTGAAATAAGTCTGTCAGAGAAAAGACAAATGCTATATGGTTTCACTCATATGTGGAATTTAACAAACAAAGAAGCAAAGAGGGGGAAAAAAGAGAGAGAGACGCAAACCAAAAAACAGACTCTTAACTATAGATAACAAACTGATGGTGATCAGAGGGAGGTGGGTGGGGGGATAGGTTGAATGGGTCATGGGGATTAGGAGTACACTTGTGAGGAACACTGGGTGATGTATGGAAGTGTTGAATCACTATATTGTACATCTGGAACTAATATTACATTGTATGTTAACTAGAATTTAAATAAAAACTTAAAAAAATTAAAATCTTTCAAGGAATTATATGGCAATTAAAATAATAACAGAAAATTTACTAAACAGAAAAATGTGGTCTTTACTGACTTATATGTGTATATAGTGGATATTTAAATATTTATGTTTTTATTTTAGACAGTTTTTCAGAGAAAAAAGCTCCAGCAAACTACAAATACAACATCCACACAGATGACTAAAATTGGGGTGTATGTATCAAATATGACTGATAAACTGGTAACACCAGGAAAATATTTTTCAGCAGCAGAATACCATGCTCAAAGATTACAGGCGGTAAGATAACTTTTATCATGAGTGAATTTTAAAACTGAAGTATATAAGCCAGTTGTTCTGTGTGTGTCTGCCTGCGTTTCTGTATTCCACACTAGTTTATGAAGAACACCTACGTGAGTGTTGTTGAAGAAAAAATTATTCGTAACACATATTAAAGATGGTAAGGCAAACTTTTTCAAGAGGGGCTACTCCTTGGAGTTTTGTAGTAGGGAAGAGAGATTGGGCTCAACCCCAAATACAAAAACTGGGAAAACTGGAAATTTATAGCCAAGGAGTAGGGTAGGGGTCAATGGAAGGGAAATTACCATGAAAACATGAAAGGAAATGGGAGATCCTGGCTAACCCATTCTAACGGGATTTTTGCTGAAGGCAGGCCAGAGTGATTAGGCATCATCTGTTGGATATGAAGGAAGATGAGGAACCTGATCAAATATTGAGGATAATCACATATGAGGGTGGGGATTCTGGTTAAACTTACTTACCAGGATTTTGCTAAAATTGAACAATGCAGAGATGAACACAGAAGCCCAAAAGTTGAGGCCTAGTTGAAAAAATGCCTGATTAGAGTTTGGTCAAGGAGAGAATGTTTATCAGTCAGAATCATGTTTTACTGGTATTAAAAGCAGTTTTTATCTCCACATCCTCCCCCAATTCTTCCCCCCCCCCCCCCACCGGCCCCCGTAAAAGGAACAAGAATTCTAAATGCTCCTAATCCCTTCCTTTCCTTTAGGGATTCCCAGGGGTTTTGTGTGTTATGTTTGGCCATTATTGGTTTTGTCCATCTCTGTCCCTTAACCTTAACTCCTCTATCCCTTGGCCTTAATCCCTGGGACAGTAGAATCACCTAGGGAGCTTTCCAGAGTAATTGAAACCAAAGCATACTAAAGTCTGTTTTCTCTGATATTGATATAATTGCCGCTCCAACTTTTTATGTTACATTTGCATTGTCTTTTTCTGTCCTTTTACTTTCAATCTATTTGAGTCTGAATCTAGTGTGTATCTCTTGTAGACAGCATATAATTGGATCTTGTCTTTTTATCTAGTCTGATCGTCTCCACCTTGTGATTGGAGTGTTTAAAACATTTATATTTAGTTTAATTATTGATAAGGTTGGATTATATCAGCCATTTGCTATTTGTTTTCTGTATGCCATTTGTCTCTCTTATTCTTTCTTCTTCCTTTACTGTCTTCTTTTATGTTAAATAGGTATTTTCTAATGTACCATTTTAATTCTTTTTTTTAATTTAAAACCTTTACTTTTAGTATAATATATACTTTAAAAAATATGCAATTCAATCATTTTTACTATATAAGCAGAATTATACAACTGTTACCACAATCAATTTTAGAACATTTTCATCATCCTGGAAAAAAAATCCTGGACCCAATAGCTGTCAATCCCTATTTTCTGTCTTAGGAAACCACTGATCTACTTTCTGCCTGTATTGATTTGCCTATTCTGGATATTTCATATACAGGGAATCATACAATATGCAGCATTGAATAAATGTTTTTAATGTTTATTTTTGAGAGAGAGGGAGACAGACAAAGTGTGAACAGGGGAGGAGCAGAGAGAGGGAGATACAGAATCTGAAGCAGACTCTGAACTGTCAGCACAGAGCCTGATGCGGGGCTCGAACTCACAAACTGTGAGATCATGACCTGAGCCGAAGTCAGATGCTCAACTGACTGAGCCACCCAGGCACCCCACAATATGCAGTATTTTTTGATTGGCTATTTTTAAACGTAGCATAATGTTTTCATGGCTTATCCATGTTGTAACAGGTATCAATATTTCATTCCTTTATACTGCAGAATAATATTACATTATAGGTACTCAATTGGATATACCTACGGTATCTATGCCAGCGTATATACTGTATTTTCTTTGTCTATTTACTGGTTGATGGACATTTGGGCTGTTTCCACTTATTGACCATTAGGAATAAAGCTGCCATAAACATTTATGTACTAATTTTTATGTGGACATATGTTTTCATTTCTCCCGGGGTATATGTCTAGGAGTATAATTTGTATCATATGGTGAATATAGATGTTTAACCATTTTAAGGAACTGTCAGACTGTTTTCCAAAGCAACTACACCATTTTATGTCCCACCAGAAGTATACAAGGATTCTAATATCTTCACATCCTCATCAACACTTGTTATTGTCTGTTTTTTTCATTATAGCTGCTCTAATAAAGTGAAGGGACAGCTCATTTGGTTTTGATCTATACACCATGATGACTAATGATACTGAATATCTTTTTATGTGCTTGTTAGCAACTTGTCTGTATTCTTAAGAGAAATGTATATTCAGATCCTTTGCCATTTTTAATTGGGTTCTCTTCTTTATTATTGCTTTGTTGTTTTTTAAAATTATTTTTTTTTTGAGTTATTTCCTAAGTGGTTGCTCTAGTGTAATTTAGGGATTACAATATACATCTCAGTTTATAACAATATACTTGACAGTAATACTAACTAAAATCCAATAAAATACTGAAACTTTGCTCTAATAAAACTTCAATTTCAGGGGCGCCTGAGTGGCTCAGTCAGTTAAGCGTCCGACTTCAGCTCAGGTCATGATCTCATGGTCCTTGAGTTCGAGCCCCATGTCGGGCTCTAAGCTGACAGCTCAGAGCCTGGAGCCTGCTTCGGAATCTGTGTGTCCCTCTCTCTCTGATCCTCCCCCGTTCATGCTCTGTCTCTTTCTGTCTCAAAAATAAATAAACATTAAAAAAAAACCCTGCAATTTCATCCCTTCTCCTTTGTGCTATCACTGTTCTACAAATTTATATACTCTTTGTATATTTTAAGCTCTACAAATCCTTTTATAATTTACTGTTTTATGCAGTTGTCTTTTAAATAAGTTAATCATAGGAGATCCTGGGTGGCTCATTTAAGCATCTTACTTAAGCTCAGGTCATGATCTTGCAGTTTATGGGTTCAAGCCCTGCATCGGGCTCTGTGCTGACAGCTCAGAGCCTGGAACCTGCTTCGGATTCTGTGTCTCCCTCTCTCTCTGCCCCTCCCCTGCTTGTGCTCTCTTTCTCTCTCTCTTTCTCAAAAATAAATAAACATTTTTTTAAAAAATTAAAAAAAATAAGTTAATTGTAGAAAAGAAGATATATATAGTCCTTGATATTTACCTATATAATTATCTTTTCTGGTGCTATTTATTTCTTCATTTGGGCTAAAATTAATATCTAGTGTCATTTCCTTTCAGTCTAAAGAGCTCCCTTTAGTATATCTTGTGTATGCTTGTTTGCTTGATGGTACCCTGAATATCTCTGTTCATTTACCTTATTTTTTTCCCATCCCCTCAGGGCAGATAATTTCTAATGATGTATCATCACATTTATCATTTTTATTATTATAAAAATTATTATATTATTCAGATCTGTTTTTGAGCCTGTCCAATAGGTTTTAATTTAATTAAAATCCCAAAATTTTCATTTGGTTCTCTTTTTTAAATAATTTCTTTTTACTGATAATAATTTTTACTGATAAATAATAATATTTAACTGATAATAATTTCTTTTTACTAATTTTCTTTTTACTGATATTCTCTATTTTATGAATCATTGCCATCTTTCTTTTAACTTTTAAACTTTATTCCCTTTAGTTCTTTGAACATGTTTATCATATCTGCTTTGAAATCTTTGTAAGTCCAACATCTTAGACCCCTCAGAGGCAGTTTCTATTGATTGGTATATTTTTTCATTCTAAATTGGTCATACTGTCTTCTTTTTGCTCTCATAATTTTGTTGTTGTTGTTGAAAACTAGACATTTTAAGTAACATTGTAACAACTCTGTATCCTGTCCCTGTTTACTCCAGGGATTGATGTTATATCTGTCTTATATTTGTTTAGTGATTTGTCTGGATTAATTAATTAGAGCAGGGGTTCTCAACTGGGAGTGATTTTGCTCCCCAGGCAACATTTACATTGTCTGGAGATATTTTTGATTATGACTTGAGGGTGAGGGTGCTAGTGTCATTTAATGGTAGAGGACACATATCGTGCCAAATATCCTATAACGCGTAGGAAACTCCAACCCCACTGCAGCAGCTTGGTTATCTGGTCCAAAATATCAACAGTGCCATTGCTGAAACCTGCTTTAGAGTTTGTCTCTATCACAATATATGGCCATTGATTTCTCTGCTCAAAAGAAATGTTGTTGTTTTTCTTCTTGTAAGTCTGGCTTCCTAAGGGTTGCCCTTGGTTTAACATAGCTTAATGGTTAGGTAATGATTGATCAAAGGCTGTGCTCAAATTCCTTGAGCTAGTAAAGCTTCCACTCTCACTAATGGATCCATGTGTTTGGAGGATGCATTGGAAGTTCAGACAAGTTTAGTTTATGACCATCCTGGCTTTTACTTTCTGCTGGGTTTTCTTCTTGCATTTCTTCTGCACAAGGCTTCACAGGCAGCCTGGGATATGTGAATAGGTAGGGCTTTCTCCAGTCTCTCCTGAGTATGTATTCATCCTTATACATGTGTTCAGCCTTCAGACTACCAAGGATATTTGGGAAGTTATCAGGGCTCGCTGTGGCCTATCTCCTTTTCCTGATATCTCTGATTAATTTCTCACTAGTCTGCTTGTCTGTTGCTTGCTCCAGACTACAATCTCAGCTATCTGAGTTGCTGGCCTCTTTTTTTTTTTTTTTTTTTTTTTTTTTTTTTTTTTTTTTTTTTTTTTTGCCACAGAGATTACTATTGTTTGTGACATTGCTTAGGGAGTATAGAGTTTTTCTTTGCTTCATTTTAAATCAATTCAACACCCTGAAAGTGGACACAGATGAATCCAGGGTGAGGAGAAGGAAGATACGAGAGCAGCCCCAACTTGAAATGCCATAGACTATCAGTGCTCCTACTTGAGGGTTAGTAATCTTTCTTCAATAAACATTTATTTGATGTATGCCTTTGGTCAATTTCCAGAATCCTGAAATGGTTATTATTATTTTTTTAAAAACAATTTTGTACAGTTTTATCATTC